CAGCTTGCTGAGAATGGAACATTTTTCCTTGCAAGAAGTGGTCGAAAGCCTGGAAGAAGTGGTAGTCAGTTGGGGCAAGGTCTAGTGAATACGGTGGATGACAGAGTTTCCAAGTCCAGCTTCTGCAGTTTGAGCAGCTTTGTTTGTGCGACATGTGGTTGAGCGTTGTTTTGCAAGAGGATTGGCCTGTCTTTATTGACCAATCGTGGCTGCTTAATTGCAAGCATCCTCATCATTTCGTCCAGTTGGTTGCAGTAGACATCCGCTGTCATCGAGTGACCAGATTTCATGAAGCTGTAGTGGATAATACCAGTGCTGGACCACCAAACAGACACCATTAGCTTTTTTGGATGAATATTCGGTTTGGTGCTGTGTTTCCGCACTTCATCTTTATCCAATCATTGTGCTGAACACTTGCAATTGTCAAAAAGAATCCATTTTTCATCACATGTAACAATACAGAAATCGTTCACCTTCATGTTGTGACAGCAAAGAAAGGCAAGCTTCAAGACAATGTCTCTTCTGATGCTCTTTTAATTCATGTGGAACCCATTTATCCAGCTTCTTTACCTTGCCCGTTTGTTTTAAATGGTCCAATATTGTTGGAATAGTAACATCCAACCTTGCCGCTAATTCATGCGTAGGTTGAGATGGATTCACTTCCACTACAGCTTTCAGATTATCATCTACCTTGGTCTCAGGTCGCCCATGTAGCTCATTTAAAATTAAATTAAAATCACCAGAACGGAACTTCTCAAACCATCAGCCTTCTGTGCATTCATTAGCCACACACTTCCCAAACACTTTGGTAATATTTTGAGCTGTCTACGATGCACTGGTTTCACAACAGAACTCATACTTGAAAATAACATGAATTTTTGATTAATCCATGGTTTCACAAAAATTGCTCTAAAAACAATTTGAAAGATAATCACAAGCCAAAATGTGTGTTTGCAAGACTGAGGATGTACCTTCACAATAAAAATAAAACAAGAAGGCCGGGCATGGTGGCTCACTCCTGTAATCCTAGCACTCTGGGAGGCCAAGGCAGGAGGATTGCTTGAGCTTAGTAGTTCAAGACCAGCCTGAGCAAGACTGTGACCCTGTCTCCACTAAAGATAGAAAAATTAGCTGGACATCATGGTGCATGCCTGTGGTCCCAGCTACTCCGGAGGCTAAGGCAGGAAGATCGCTTGAGCCCAGTTTTGAGGTTGCAGTGAGCTACAGTGACACCACTGCACTCTA